TACTCGCGCGGGAGAAGCCCGTGAACAGTGGAACACGTCCACCTCCTGTCTTTACGTAACTGTTCATCTGCCTTCGGCTCTGTCGATCTCTGTACGTGTAACGTTATTTATAGAAACCCGCAACGAGAGCCGGAGGAAAATACACCAGAGTCGAGAAAAACACTCGCATCGCAGTCAAGAATAAACCGGCGAGTTTCCAATCGGCCGCACGCAATCGGCAAGATTCGAAAAGAGGGAAAGTGAGTTCTACTGGTAGTCACTCGGTGAAATTGTTGCGTGACAATGCCGGGCCTCGCGTGACGAGATTGATTAAGAGAATATTGTTGCAACTCGGTCTTTAACCCATCCAGAGACGTACGCGAAGTAAATAAATACAAGCTAATATATAATAAGTTTAAAGGCGATACAAGCGAACAAATTATAGGTGACGATTTTCACCGAGTCTTTTTCTTTAATGAAAAGAAGAAACTTATTGTTGCCAGAAATTAAATAAAAATAGCTTATTCGGTGAAAATCGTCACCTATAATTCGTTTCCTTGCATCGCCTTTTAACTTGTCATCTGTCTCGATCTTTTCAACAACGTGCCTTGTCGCATACGCGTTTTTCCTGTATTTAAAAATTCCTATTTAAATTATGATTCCTATCTAAAAAAAAAAAAATCTCACGGGTTGCGGACCAACAAGCCGATATCAGATGAACCAACCTTTCGGAGGGCATTTTAGAGGAATTTTTAAATCTAAAATTTCTCAAATTTATTGTGCTTTATACAAGGTTCCACTCGATTACTATCGATACAACTATCGCTATCTAAAAGTTCATCTAGAACTTTGCAACGAACCATTCAATTCCAACGGATTTTTTTTTTAAACCGTGCGATGGAAAGCCAGTTAAGAAATAAAGTTTAATCTCGATACACGGCATCGCGCAGCACGATCAATTATAATTACCCTCACACGGATTAAATTTAACTGGTAATTTTCGCTGGTAACGACGACGGCGAAGTGAGTGACGTCGCGGTGTTTCCGTCCACGTTGGAAATCCAGCGAACCGGGAGAAAGCGACCGAACAACGGCCATAAAGTTGCCGCAATTTCATTGACATTAACGTAATTACGAGATCGCCGTTCGTTATTCGAATTTTCCCAAAAGCGATTAACCCACGCGAAAGGGATGGAAACGACTCCAGCGACTCATCTCTTTTCGACTGTCGCGAAATAGATTTGTATGGTAGAGGATGTATCGTACGCGTTACACGGCGTTATTTCGGTAGGTCGGTGCCAGCCATTTCGTCGGAGCACGCTGGAATGGAAGTTAAAAGACACGGGAGAAAAGGTTAGATGTTAGATTAGACCGTTAGATGTAAAAGAGAATAGTTAGGATTTGCAATGATAAAAGCTGGGGGATTTATATAGCTGGGGGTATCTCGTTAGGTTAGTTGACATTTTCTAGGTTGTCCAATAAAGTTCGCGGACACTTGCTACCAATAAATCATTTTATAATAACATTACAATCGAACAATAAGTATTCTTCAAAATAAATGTCATTGCTTCCGATAGTTTTCATCTATCTTTCTGTCAATTTTTCGATTCGCGATCATCGCCGTTGCTTCTAGGACCTGGAGGCCCGAATGGAATCTCTGTCTCATTTTTTATTTGTAGACAAGCTTCTACAGGAGAGATTCTACAGAGAGAATTATACTTCATCTAGCTTCCCCTTTAAATAGTCACGGAGGATTGGTTTACCAGGAAAGACAAGGTTCTCAGACAAGGTTCTTTTTTCTAATTCCGTTTTACTGTCCAATTCCGGATGGTTTCTACGTTCCGATCGCGATCCATATTGTTCTCCAACTTAGGAACGCGGCGTCTTATCGATGAAACGAACGGTGGGAGTCGGAAGAGTAAAGTACTCATTAAGGTTTTAAACGGTCTCGCGTTGAACGGGCAGATAAACTCGCCGCGGGGTGAAATCAAGCGACGAGGAATCGCGCGACGTGACCAAGAGGACAATGAGCCATATCAATCCTTTATTTCTTTCCCCCTTCTCCTCCTCCAACTCACCCCTACCCTCCTCTTTCCTCTTTGGGCTAGAGGAATTCGTTCCGTTCGAGCGATCGAATCGCCTCGAAAACGATCGGCTATTCAAACGGCTCTCGACAACGAATCGCCGGAAAAAGGAGGGAAAAAAAGGGAGAAAGGAACGAGGCCAATGACAGAGAGTTGTAGTTCGGGGGATGAAAAAGGAAAAGGAGGAAATACAAAATGGAGAAGTAAAAATAGCGGGGGCGTGGGACGATCGGTCAACGCATCGACGAGGAATTCCCTTGACGCCGCAAAAGCTTCGAGCTGCCGGCATGAAAGTAGATCGTCGAATCCCAGCCCTTGTAATCTTTATCGATACAAGGCACGAGTTTTCCAACGGTCGCCTCGTTTCGTTCCGGTATACAGGGTGAAGCACTTAAAATTGGACATCCGAGTAACTCGTTTGCTCTGGTTTGCGTAAAAATTATTCAAACGTGTGTACCGACGGTATCGTGAATAAAAGAACCCGTTGTTGATGTCGAAATCGAGGCGATACAAATTTCAATGTCGGCGTCAATTGTAATTAGTGCCTAGTACGCGAGGGCAGCACTTTAATAACGTATATACGCGCGTAAAAAGAAAGGTATAGATAGATAGAAAGTTTCGATAGATTTTTTACTAGATTTGTTTTTATATTGTTATTTCGTTTACTGTACAAATCATCTATCTGTATAAGAACGAAGCCCTGACTAATTACGAGGTATACAAGAAATAAGGAAGGATATTTCGAAATTCAACCCCTAAAGGGGTAAAAAGGGGTTGCAACGTTGCAGCTAGTTATATAGTAAAAATATATATAAAAACGAGTAAAGTTTATTCAACCAGGCTCCGTTAATAAAAGTTGAACTCGACTCTTTATTTCTCAACCCATCCGATTGCAGAACAGTTCCTTCATAAAATGAACCACGTAGAAAAACGAAGAATTGTGACTTCAGTAGTCGGTTCACAGTTGAAAGCTTTCTTCGATAAGTCGCGTAACAAGAGGGTGCACAACGAAATAACAATCGAAAGATGAAACGAAATTTTTCTCGCGTACCATTCTTAACTCGACAAAATCTACACGTAGGAAATAAAACTCGACCAGGTGTCCCGCTTTAATTGCTTCACCGTGTAGAGCGGGACTTTCGTTCCCTCTTTCCCGTCCCTCTCCGCAAACAGTTTAACCGTATTTCACGGCAGATCACATTTTTCCATCCTTTTGGCTATTTTGTTTCGTTCACACCAATTCGGGGGCTGTGTTACCGTTGCGAGCAGACACACACGTTCGATTGCCAGAATGCCGGGAATCGTCAACCGTCGACCGCCTATTAAACCCGCGGCTTGATCGAAATTCCTATTCCCCCGCTTTCGCCGGCGGTCTTCCATCGATTCGAAGGGAAATTCCACGATGGAAACTCGCGGATAGAAAAGCACGACGAAGGAAACGCGTAATCACGCGTTCGTTCCTCGACTCTTTTCGGTGTTTCTCCGTAGTAGATGCGGTCTCCGTGCAGGAAATGTTCGTGTTGCGTGGACGCAGGATGTTACGCGAAATAAATAAATAAATGAAGGGATGGTCGATCGGTGGCGACGGTATAAAAACTCCGGTACAAAGCGAGTAAAAAGAAAAAGGAGAGAAACGAATGAAACACGGTGTTGTAAGATTTCATTTAAATCCACTTTTGATACCATTTCATCGAGGATCGAAGGAAAAGGTGACGAAGATCCTGATTCTAGCAACAACAAAGATAAATAATCAGCCTCTAAAAAGCCTAATCAAAGGCTTGTTGAAATGACGACGTCTTTCGAGCGTCTAGACCTGTTTACGATCCCATGAGCGGAGGTATCTTAGCAGGAAGAAAAGGACGATTTGGCGACGAAGAAATGGACGGTGGAGCCGGTTTTCGATCGGGAGAATTGCAAGACAAAATGAGGTTAAATGTCCGCCAAGAAAGCGTCCAGAACGCAGCCGGACTCGCCGACGCGCGACTAAATCGGCGGAACGCAGCAGGTTGTTGAACAACGAAAGTGCAACTTGCGCTAACGCTCGCTTACGCGCGTCTCAGCTTCTCCTTCTCCTTGCGCAAGCTATATCCTTGAAGCAATTACGATTCTTAAAGAGCAAAGGCCCGTCGACGAACTTCTCGATTTTATAACGTTCTGCACTAAAATCTTGAAATGGCCCTCCTCTGGAAGCCTCGGTCTTCGAATCGTGGAAAAATGATGTACAGAAGACGTAGAAAGTGCAAGTAAGAGGAAAGATTATACGAGCGAGAGTGTATATACCCAGAACTATAACTTCGTTTCTTATCTATATAACCAGTAACTTAAGATGCTGTAACTTGGAGGATATCTTTTAATTAAGGGGAGATTACGAACTAAATGTTTTAAAAACTTTCCAGCGAGAGGATGCAAGGTTTAACTCTTGTTCGTATAGACGCACTGCTGCTGAAAGAAAATGCAAGATTTGCATAGATCAGGATTGAGCTGTGCTTCGTTTTTTTAAAAGTAGTATTCGTAATTTCCTTGTAACTCCAACTATTTTCGTCTAATCTAGATGAAAACACTCTTTAGGTCCTCCTTATGTTACCCTTCCCAACAGGAAGAGTAGAGGCATATCGCTCCGAGAAGACGTCAAGGAAACCCTTCGAAAGACCCTCTGCGTAAGGAAATCATCAGCTGCCTTTCCAAAACAATCGACAACTCTATTGTCTACTAACGATATTCTGCGCCTGCAATTTTCCCGCGTTCGACACACGAAATTGTTATTCGTCGAACAAGAGAAGTGTTTGACCTAAGGGGAGAAAAGTGCAACCTGCACAGCGCACACTCACGCACGTCTCAGCTTCCCCTACCTCTTGGCCGGCACGGAGAGGTGTCCGGAGACGGAGAACAGCCGGTATATATCATCACGTCGTCGTCGTCCGCCGCTACACACACTTTCGTATTTATCGGTACGAAGAAGGGGAGGAAGGACCACGGGCGTACACCTTGGGACCAGTGCGTTCCGAGATTTCGCGGTGAGAGGACATCGACCAGACGATTACAGCGGATCTCTCTGCCACGCTCCGTTACGTTCCCCCTTTGAAATCGCGCGATCAATTCACGGGCGAGTCGTTGATTCAACGACTTTTCCCGCCCCTCCGCTCCTCGAAGTTTTCTTTGCTCGCGTTTTTCTCCAAATTGCTCGAGGAGGATCGCGATTCTTTGTGAACGGGCGCACACCACGAACTCTCAGCATGGCTTCGACGATCAAGGTGAGTGACGAACGTGCAACAGGTAGATACACACGCAACGCCCTGTACACGTACGCGTCGGTGATTTAAAGTTTCGGAGTATCCCGAGGGGTGTCTCTCGCCCCTTTTCTACCCCTGTTCCTGCGTGACGAGACTAGCGATGGGACAAAGCGCCGCACGAGTAGCTCCCAATCCGGATCGAATAGGTTCGAAACCCTCTGCGAGTTGTCTCCGAAACGGTAGGAGCTCTTCTGAGCATGCCAGATCGTTTTTTAGTCTAACGTCCGATTGCGAAGTAGGTACGCCAGATGCTACGCATGTTGGTTTGATTATTTTTGCAGAAATATAAGTAGTAGAATTGAAAAATCACAGAGAACCAGCGGAATTGTAATGAAACACACTCCGAAAGTAGTCTCAGAAATGGGTAGAAACTCTTTCGAGCGTGCCAGGAGACGATCTTTGCGCGTAACGTCCGATTGAGAATGTATTCGAGATGCTACGCGTGTTGGTGTGACGTCGCGTCGGTTGATCAACGACGAGCATCGTTATGTCGTTGTTGAGACCTTCTTTCGGAGAAATATGGGTAGCGGAATTAAAAGAATGACGTGGAAAGCAGTGGAGTAGATTCGAAATGAGGAAGCAGTGGAACTGTAATAAAATAGACGAAGCGACGCGATAAGTAACAGAGCGATTACAGCGAAGTTACGAAATCAGGGTACTTAAGTAGATTCCAGCGAATTGTACTTACGTCGGACAGAATGGAAAAGAACGGTAAACTTGTTTTGTCAGATAGCGTGGCAGGTGGACGATTTCGCGAAATAAAAGCTGTATTTCGCGGAGGAAAACAGAGGCGTACCGGGTCAGACGTTATAGCCAGCCGTCCACATTCTACTTAAAGGGGAAATTCGACACACATTCCGCTTACGGGAGACGCGTCGCAGAAACAAAGTGCATGTCATTGTTCCATTTCTCATTCATGCTCAAACACGATACCGGAGGCAGAAACATTTCTCGTGAGATATTGAGAAACTGTTCGATACAAAATCACTTATAAGATTCGCGAAAGAGAGCTTGCTCGCGCGAAAAATTTACGTTCGATTCCAAAAGTAGGTTTAATTCGTATCAACGGTTTCGATTGTCAGATTCGAGTCACTCTCAACATTTTGCTCGTACATGCTCTCGGGGACATTGCTTTCGCGTGGGAGTAGCGAATTCGATGCCACGGCCAATCTTGCGCGTTGAATATTTAGGAGACGAAACTGCGTCCTCGAAACCACGTACCTGTAGCATTTTTCAATTATGAAACGCGCGCACCGCGAATCATCGATTGTTTTCCGCTTTAATGGCCCGTTATCACGATAATCTTTCGCAATAGGGATTCGTTATCGGTTAAAACCAGGCGAGATTAAATCACCCGCTCGCGTTTACGAACAGCAAATTCTATAAAAGCGTTATTTGCACATTCTATTTAACACATTGAGCACGGGCGACGAGATATCTCGTTTTCAAGTTTTTTCGACTTAATTGATAAAAAAACAAAAAACAAAAAAAAATGCGCGAACCTCGTACGCAACGTGTTAACATCGACAGTGGTATCAACGAAAAAAAAAAAACATTAGACAATCGAGTGAATTTTTGACACCACGTTCGAATGTCCTTTCTAAACATCGTCCAGGTTGCGCGAGCCACCTGTGCAGTATCCGATCCAAGTTTACATTCGTACGGCAAACACGCTCGGATATGAATCATTCCGCGCTCACGTATTATGCCGTTAGTGTTCTAATCTCGCGAGTTCATTAATTTAATGATTTAAGAGCATCGGAAACAATTAGAAGCGTTTCTAAAGCGCTTTCTCCAGCTCTCGCGCAAAATTCAAACTTCGTTCGGCAAAGGAAACGTTATTCTAAACAAGCACTCTAGTTTCATAGAGCACAAGACAAATAGGAAGGCTCTCGTATAAAGAAAAAACTAAATAAAGATCATTCGAACTCAGGAATCTATTTAACTTAAATAATTTACGATCCTCAGCCCCCGACTGTTCAGAGCTAAAAATGTTCCGTCATCGCATTCGAGAATGTCGTAACATCGAGACAATAAGTCTCCAAAACTCAATCGTCCGACGTTCAGATTAAGCTGCACGCTTCGCAGGAGGAATCGTCGAGAAAAGCCTGCAACGGCATCGAAGTGATGCTACTGTTCGCGTTCGCCACGCGTTCGAGAATCCTCGCGATATTAAAAAGCCAATAAATGTCGGGAGGCAAAGAATTCGCGGTGATTTCGACGAGAAGAGGATATCGGCCGCGAGAAGGATATCGGTGGAATCGCACGGACTCCCAGCGTGTTCATTTTCGGTGTCGCAGTCGTAAAAAAAAAAAAAAAAAAAAAAAGAACGCGTCGGAGCAAGCGATCGATTCGCGTTTCTTCGTGTCCGTCAACCGCGAGAAGAAGTTATTAAATTCTGGCACGTAGCTGGGCTCCACTCGAACGGGCGAGACACAGAGCCTTTATCGACGGGGTCGCAACGTCATAACTCATGCGTGCCGCAATCGTACGCTTACGTGTATGGCACAGAGACGGCGGCTGCATGGAATAACAAACCAAGCGGAATGATTCCTTGGCTGTTCCGCTCGCGACTCGACTCTGCGCAGTGGCACGAAGCGTTTGAAAAACGTATGAAAACTTAAACTCCTGTTTCATAATTTCACAAGAAATACAGAAAGAGGAGTACAAAGGGACAAAGTTTTCCAACGTCTTCTTTGATTTCGAACTTTACACCGAATCGCGTTGAAGTTCGTACCTGATTTATTCTTAACCCTATTCAACTCTTCGCGCGACTCTCACTCTATAACTTTCTCTCTCGAAGACTCTCTCGCCACCGACATTCCTCGGGAACGTCTACTCTGGCTACGACTCTCTCCCCGAGATTCGTTCATCTAATCAAAATCTCTACCGTGGAATCCCGAAATAAATTCTCGCGATAGCTTCTTTCGTAATCGATAACTTCATCTAGGCAAACTTTTCCTTTTATAAATATCAATACACGTTCGTTCTTATGAAATTAACGACGAATATAGAAAGTACAGTTACGTAACTCTTCAAATGGGCGATCTTGTTTAAAAGAAAAATAATTATTAGCTTCGAGGATTTTCTTAAATAAGTAATATCGATAGCGAATATACCAATAGCTCTGATAAGAGACTCCTTGTCTCCCTGGAGTCTCCCTACGGCGCCGTTACTTCACTCGCACGCCGTGCGCCGAAGTGTTCGTGGTGTTCAGTGATGGGCAAAACCCTAGACTTCGAATAAATCTGAAGTTTGCCGATGTGTTTCGTGCCGTGATGTCTCGTTTCCTTCTTTGGAAAATGTTCAACAGAAGAAACGAGATAAACATATCGGCAAACTTCAGATTTATTCGAGTCCTAGGGTTTTGCCCATCACTGGTGGTGTTTCGTGGTCCGAATATTGCAACAACCAAAAAACCATGGATAAATATCTTCGAAAACGAGTGCACACGAAACAGGCTTGGAAAACTCGAGACGATCGTGTATCATTGAGGTGCGAAATTATTATCCATCGATTCCTAACCGATACTTAAACGATTTAATAACAACGAACAAAGCCCGGCGATTCGGGCGAGCATGCGCGAACAATAAATAATTATTTATCGTCGATTGTGTGCGCAGCGCGGGACCGCTCGAACTACGCGCCATAACGGGATATTACGGGCGCAAACAGCGACGAGTTTTCCCGGGTCATCCAACGTATAACCCGGTGAATTATCATTCATAGACTGTGACGATAATTAACGGGCCATACGTAGGTTTCGCGCCCCGTGGCCGACAGGAACCGTCAGCGTCTACCTCGGACGTAATAACCGAGAACGTTACGGTTACTATCGTCCCAGTCAACGTGACAGCAATAAAATCTATATCACGGCCATTTGCCATTCAGAGCGGCCAATAATTCTTCTAATCCACGTCGATTTGCGGAAGTAAGCGGTTTGCGTGAGCGTACTCGAGCCCGCAATCCAATCTACAAATCATCCCCGGGAGCGTATATACAGCCAGCCGGTGATTTACCGAACCGTAGCAATTATTAGCATCCCTTTCCCACCCCTTCCACCCCTTCCCGCGGGAAAATCGAAACTCGCAACAGCGGTAGCTGACGAGTCGAGATCGAGGAAAAGTCGCGAGCTTCGATGAAAAGTTCTTTAACGCCGGTTCGTTACTTATGTTCGCTTCGCGAAGTTCTCTTAATATTCGAGGTGAACATTCCCCATTCCGTGGTAAATCGAGGAATTCTGCTCCCAGGTATTCTATCGGAAAAAATGCGTGGGTTATTCGTGCTCCACCGCGTAATATAACGTTTCTGTGGTAAATATTTTTTTTTTATTTTTATTTTTTTTTAAAGTAATAACGAGACGAAATAGAAACATTATTTTTCACGAGTTTTTGCGGCGAATAAATGTACACGCAACGAACCGATATTTACGTGAATTTCGAAATTATTATACCGTTGTTTCGCGTTACCAACTCGTTATATAAAAACATCGACTAAGAAATAAACCATATCGATTTCTTTTAAATAACGAGACGGATATTTCCGATCAGGCTTTCGCCTGATATTGACAATTTAAACGGATTCGGCTAGAAAAAGGTCAGCGCAACGGACAAACATCGAATTTTGAAGTCGAGCAAAATTTTCCCGAGCATTTTTCGGTGGATTTCTGATGGCTGCGCTATGTAGCGAGGAACCGCGTGTCCTGGATCACCTGGCGAGCAATTTAAAACCGTGCGCGATCGTTAAAGGCGACGCGATGGCGTCGAGAGGTGCACAAGCCCGACGAAAATAAAATTCAACTTTGAAATATCAGTCTCGGCGCGCGTCAAAAGGGTCCAGGGGTAAAAAAAAAAAAGAAAAAAAATGAGAATTTGTGTCATGCGGGCACGTATGCACATAGCACAGAATATTCCCGGAAAGTATGTTCATCCGTCAAGCGGTTACAATTTAATTGGAACTATTTTCCGCACTCCAATCGAACGCTCTGCCATACTTTTTCCCCCGAGCGACGAGAAAGCAATCGTCCAGCGAAAGAAGTCAAGATCCCGGTGCAAAAAGGTGTCGCGCGAGTGACGTACGACGGAGCCTCTCAGCAATAGATTCATCCGCAGCGACGATTTAACAGCCGCTTGGACGGTAACGCGGCTAATTTACGTTGCTTTCGCGTCTACATAATTCTTCGAATTCCATTCCGCGCTCGGCTCTATTCTATCCACGGTACGTGGTTCCGCGAAGCAATTTTCTACTCCTCTACCGTATCCACCGGAGCATTCTCAGTCACACGAGTTGTTATTTCAGGATTTCCACGTTGTCCACCGGAGAGCTTTGCTCTTGACAATCACCGCGGCGAGATTCTCTAACCGAATTACGCGTCATTCGGATAATTTCTGATTGGGATCGTCACCGGAATCGTGATTCGTTCCAATCAAATTTTATTCGATTAGGACAGAAAGGTGATCGGGTGTCGTTCGCGAGTACAAACACGTTTCAATAAAGAAACGTCGGTATCTTTTTCCGATCGCGAATTATTTATTCCGCCAGTAGTATTTCAAAATTTCCACAACCTTCCGCGTGCACATGGACGTGCAACATGTATCAATTTTCACGTTTGTTATTTTCTGCGCGACAAAACTAGCGTTTACTTATTCAAAATGAAACTCTGGGCTAGCCGTTCTGGAAACGAATTTAACGCATGTAATTTTTATGAACACTCAAAACGTCGAAATACTGTCCATCGAATCGATCGTGAATACATCTAGAAACGACATTTGAATCGCCGTTAAAAGTGCATACATTCGAATATTGGTACGTTAAATATCTGTGTATTCTTCATTCGGTCTCCCCTCGGGGTTCGCCGGGCCTCTTTCGTCACATCTCTTGCCTATTTCTTACAAATCTTAAAACTAAACCTTATTCTACCTCATACTACCTTGTACTACCTCAATATACTCACACAAAACAAAAAAATCATTTCCGTCGCATTTTCTCGATACGTTGAATAAAGTAAACGATAAAAGGTAAAAAGAAGTGTCGCTAAATTTCTCCTTCCCTGGTCGAATGAAATCCCTTAAGAACGTGAAAACGAGCCGTACCTTTCGCGTTGATATTATCAGAGGGAGGGAGAGGGAGGCGCGAGTGAAGTAATTTAAAAGGTGGCTCGTTAGTTAGTTGACGCACGCAATGTATACGCGACTGTAACGAAACAGGGAAACGTGTCGAACCGACACACCGGGCCAACGAAGGCAAACAAACGATGGTCGTAGGTAACTCGTATACCATCGTTACTCACGGATGGTTGTTGCTTGTTTAGCCATGTTAGCTTTGGCGTGCTTCATCGTGGCTGCGTTCACCCATTGTCTGCCCGTAGACCTTCCTTATCCCCTTTCGTTATTTCACCGCGCGCCACTCGTCTGTGAGCGTGCAATCGTTTCGACTTTTGCCATTGGGGACCGAGCTGCGGCCAATTCCCTCCTTTCCCGTCGTCAACGCGTACCTGTTATCTATCCCTTTATTATATTCGTATTTAATTTCCTCCTCTCGAGGAGCCCCAGGAAACTTTGGCTCTCGTTTATTGCCGTGCGAGCACGGGTAAATGGAGCAAACAGACACGAGTCTAATTTCCTTTTTAAGGCGCATCCACCCCGGGGGCCCACCACCCCCGACGCGTTTCCGGCGCTTCCTGCACTCCGCGTTGGACGAATTCGAAACGTACGAATTCTGCGATTCGCTCGAGAAACGCGGCGTGACGCGTCTGTGTATGGCGGGGCGAGTGAAAATGAGCGGATCGAGACCCTGTGGACAAAAAGGGGTTGGATCTATTTTCAATTAATTCTACATATTCGAAGCGTTCGAGGACCACTGGACTGGCGAGTGAAATCGTATGGCTTGGGACTCTTTAGACAAAATTAATTTAAGATAGATCACCGAACTCTCTCCCTCCATCTTTCACTCAAAACTCCCGCGTAACTCTAGCCCTTCAGCCTCCGAGTACCTTAATTCCTCCCTTTCATCTTAGCGATCAAACTCCGAGCAACACCAGGAATACTCGAGTTTGAGAGACACTGGAGCAGAAATCCTCGTAGCTGCTGTTAAACGGCGTCGATAAATCGGGGAGATTCGGAATTATCATACGTGTCCCGTCGTACCGGATAAGCGTCGTTGACTCTCGTTGACCCGCGAATTTGGTTAATTGCCCTCATGTGCCGACGCGCGGAAAGCGGTCGGTCTCTTGAAGACAGCCGCGCAGCCTCTATTTACCTAAAGCGTGTACTTAACTGCCTCGAACAATGTTCCAGCTGGCGTTTGTCGCTTGCACTCTGCTCGTCTGCACGGCTGCAGCGGAATCGGAAGAAGGACAGACTGGAAGATCGCGGGTCTCCGACGATCAGCTGAACCTGGCCCTGAGCGATCAGCGTTACTTGAGGAGACAGCTCAAATGCGCCCTGGGAGAGGCGCCGTGCGACCCCGTCGGAAGACGCCTAAAAAGTAATGCGCAAATCGCGTAAATGCGCCCGCAGACGACCTATGCATAGCGCGTTAACCCTAGGAAGCACAGGAATCTCGATCCACCCGGTTCAATCATTTTCAGATTGTTTTTAAATTATTTTTCGCGAGAGGGTATGTACGCCACTTTTCACGACCGGAGAAAGCGATATTTAGGAATTTTTCCCAACGACACCGAATGTCCAACGCGAGTGGTCGATGCGTGTATTAAAAGTACATACTTTGAGTAGTCTTTCCGCAAATTTTCATAGAAAAATATCGATCGGTGTAAAAAATACGAGCATTCGTGTGCCAAGCTATTGGACTTTCCCAATCGCTGAGGTGAATGTCTCGAGAGGCTTAATAATCGACATTGGGTAAAAGAATAATATTTGGAATCTACACGAGACCTTTCTGGACACTTATAGACAGAAATCGAAGTATACACTCAGGAAATATTAACGTCAATATTAACGACGGCGTGTATCGTCGGGGTAGAAAAAGATGTTGCGCGGCGCGGGTATCGATCGCGTTCGCTCGCGGTTCGAAGGGTGGCTATGTGAAAAATTAAAAGGAGGCGCAATTACCTCGAAAGCCTAACCCGGTGGGGGGGGGGGGGGGGAACGACGCGAATCGTTATTCTGTCCGATTCAAAGGGATAAACCGATCTCCGGGCGGAGTTAACCCCGTTTCGCGTGGAAACTCGACGGGGCGGTCGGAACGGCGAGTCATCGAATTGCTTAGATCGAATTTATATCCGTATTTCGAGGGCCGACGTGCTTCCGCCGACGACTTCGTCGATAAATTTCTATAAAGTTACCGACGGAATTCGATTTAACCGCGGCGTTGTTATCCAGGTTTAGCACCGCTGGTTTTGAGAGGCGCCTGCCCGCAATGTAGCCCCGAGGAAACACGCCAGATCAAGAAGGTCCTTTCGCACATCCAGCGAACCTATCCGAAGGAATGGTCGAGGATAGTGCAGCAGTACGCCGGAGTTTCGTAAGACGAGGGATAATGGGCGCAGTTGGGAAGAGGGACGACGCCGATTGCGCTCGATAAAAAGGGGGAGAGGATGGATAAACGAGGATCTGTTTAGAATAGGCCTTGGTCCCGCTCGATCGTACGTCTGGCATCGATGTTACTTGTTACGGGGGAATTAACCCTTTGCCCCTACAATCTTTCTTAAAGGGACCAGTTATTTTAGCGTTGCTACGCAGATTTTTTAAAATTAGGTGCGTTCTTATCCGAAGAATTTATAAATGGTTCAAGTTTTATTCGTTTGTTTTGTCAAGTCAGACTTTGCAAAGGGTGCGAAGGGTTAAACATTCGTACGTTCGGGGGGTGACTCTTCTCGTGGAAAGCATTTGGTCTCGTTCAGCGTTGTTAACCATTGTACACAGTATTTTATACGTCTCTTTACGGTAATTAAATATATATGTAGTTCAATAAAGTATATGCTCTCTTGTTCCCGAACCAGAATAGTTTCCTCGGGTATGGTGGAGGGTGCACTTGATTCTGCGGCTCGAAGCATCACGATATTTAAAAAATGTATATATTAGTCATCCCAAAAGTTTCTTTCTCACAAGGAAAGCTTTTTAGGCGTCGGTCTCCGATTGTATTGATTTTTGGATACCTTTTAAAGAACTGAAAAATAAGATATACCTATTTTCTTATATTGCCACGTTTTCATATTTAGAGGGTGAAATGACCCCCTAAAGTTTCAGATGCAATAAATTATTTCTTCGAAAATAGGAACAGATTTTATATGCAGATAGAAAACCATGAAACTTTTTTTGAAAAAGTTTTCTTCTATCTATGACAATTACGAAGACAGCCTATTGCAGCTGAAGCTTCAGGGGGTCGTTTCACACCCTAAATATGAAAACGGGTGAATATCAAAAAATACGTATATCTTATATTTCGATCGTTCAAAACATATCCAAAGATCGAAACAATCGGAAGCGGACACCTAAAAAGCTTTCCTTGTCAGTCATTTTGTGTTTATGTAAATAGACAACCTAATTTTTTAGATGTTAATTTTGTAACAGCAATGGAGCAAAATGAATCGTACGCAATTTAATAATGCAACATTAGACGTAAAATATTGTGTATGTATTAATAAAATGGAACACTTGTTAATGAAGTGAAAGAAACTTTTGGGGACAACCTAATACTAATCGTTTCAGAAAGAGTAAAAGTTTTGGTAGAAGGAGGGCTGTGTCTCGTCTCGGATCTCTTGACTGATCTCATCCATGAGGATCATCAACCCTAACGAAGTTTAGGTTAGGCGTGACGCTGTTAATCGTTCGAACGATCCGATCAAACTAATTGCGTGCTAATAAACCAGCGATGTCAAGTACTTGGAAACTGTTCGACAAACAGTACATATCGTCGCGTTCAGCCATAATATATCCACGGAACCTTCATCGACTGATCGAACTAGAAGCCTCACCACCGTTATCTAGGTCGCCAAGGTCGCTAAAAATTCGATACAATTCAAGCTTTTTAAATTCAACTCGATCCCTTGTCATCTTCGAGCGATGGCGTTTCGCGAGCGGACGAGTCCGCTTTCAATTATCGCAATCACCCACGCAGAGATCGAATTTTATTCGGGCCGTGTGCTGCGACACGGTGTAAGTCTGCGACTGGTGACGTCAGAGGCGGGGAACCGTAATAATGTCGGATATGCCAGTAGCGGGAAAGTAATAAGCCGGTTTCGCGTTTTATATTTTATTCCTCGCGACTCGGCTGCCTTCAATTCCGCTGTATTACAATAAACAGCTTTATTCCCATAAACTGCGCGAGGAACGTTTCCACGCCGAGAGCGGCGTTTCATAACGTTCGAACTGTCGCCGAAACGTATTCCGCGAATGCTTCCTCGATCCGAGACTTCCTGTTTAGCGGAATCGCGGCGACGTTATGCAACGATTGGCCCGCGAGTTCTTTGGCCGCGCGACACGTGGCTCGCACACGACGCCGGACGTAATCGAACGACGCCTTCGCGTAATGATAATCGTGGATTGACAACGGCATCGACAGACCTGACGTCCACCTGCCACGCGCACGAAACGTCGGAACGGTTTTTCACGGGACGCGGATATTTACGTAGACGGTTGCCCGTCCAACACTTTTGTTTACGGTTGATATACAGGGTGTTCACAGATTTACTAGCGTTTTTCTCGTAAACGGTAGATATGACAAAGAAATGAAAGAGGAAAAATTTATAACGTCTTTTATTTCTACATCTCTTCGTCTCCATTCTCCATCTTGACATTGCGTTAAGAAAATTTTCAAATTACCTATTAGGCTTAGGGCTAATACTTTTTTTTATTTAGAATTCGATACTCTACCATAAATATAAAAAGCTTTTTTATAAAAAGTATACTATTGTATTTAAGAAACTGAAAGTCACTTTCATTTCTCAGAAAATAGTACAAATACGAAAGATTTATATACCTCGTTACATTGCACATAAAAAACAATATACATTTTTCCTCTTTCATTTTTTTGTCATATGTACCGTTTACGAGAAAAACGCTGGTTATAGTACATCTGCGAACATCCTGTAGACGAAGGGACGTATTCGATGTAGAAATTAATTCTGTGTCTTTCTAAAGTGAGTTTCCCATTTAAATATAAATAAAAACTATTCATTCGTCAATTTTCCCTCGATCGTGCATTCCAAAAACAACACACATCATTGTCAAAATTACCTGAAGAGATCTGTGTGTTTCATCACTATGATGGTTGATATTGTAACGTAATAAAGCGACGAGTATTTTCACTTAACTCTTTATTTACTGAATTCCTCAAAAGTGTTAAAAAGCTTGTGCTGCCATTCAACAATTAAAAAACGAACATCATAGAAGCGGACTCGAAAGTCACAATAGGTTTCGAAGCGTTTAAATTAATACAGTACCATGAGAAAACTGGGACCTGTACGAGTCTCTTCTGCAAATAAAGAGTTAAACTACAGTAATAAACGATTGAATGCGAACGCACAGAATCACTTTCTAAGCGCCAGCAATGGGACTGAGTCGAAAGGTGAATTGTAATAAACAAAAACTATACTAAACGCGCCCTCGAAATAGCGAAACAGCAAACCGGATTATTTACAGGCTTGTGTTGTTCCTTTAAATCCACGATCTATACACGACGATAATAGGATTAAATAAAACTTCAACAGTATAGATAACGGGCACTCGACATCAAAGCCCCGGTGGGTTACAGAGGGTTAACTGTTAAAGGTTAGAGTCGACGAGCGTCGAAGCGTTGCCGCCCTTTTATCGCAGCCCATAAACCAGTTTTGCCGAGAATTAACGACAATCAACAAGTTGGTAATTATTTACAGCATAATTAACGACTTATTCGGAGTCAATTTATAGTGGCTCGTTACCGTGGAGTAATTACGACGCTTGGAAACAGCGTCGATTTTATTGTAATGCAAATTCTTTCCTCCCCCCCGCCCCCTCCTTCAGGTTCGTTTATATTTAATTTCGTCGCTGTCGATATCCCGAAATCGAAATCAATTACGCGCGTTCCGACGAGATTGAATTCCCGTAAAAAACACAGAACGACAGGAATCCGTCTAGCATCCGAGATTTCGACGACGACGCCTCGGGGGGTTTCGTCCTCGAGGCGTCGGGTCAAGGTCCCCGCCGCCGGTTTCTAACGTGATCGATTCAACGGTACAATCGACTGCGGGATCCAGCGATGTAGGTCAGCTGGTCTGCTAGTCAAACGTTCGAAAATTCCGTTACGCGCCGCAAGTAGAAAGTTATTTCCGTAAAAGTAGACGGCGGGGGAGCCGACGCGCGGCTCGAACGAGAGAGAAAGGACGACCCGTGACGCGCCACTGCCTAATTGGATAATACCTGTGCATCGACGCCACGTTTCACTTTCTTCTTCTTTTTTTTTTTTTCTGGTGAAACCGAAACGATGGAACGCTCCGATGAGCGAGAAACGAACCATGGTCAGGGTTGCTGATATATCGATTTACAGGGGGCCTCGTGCACTTGGACCTTGTCTCTATAGGAACTTTTTAAAAGTAAATTGCTTTCTTTGTGTCGGGACGAGCTTCAAAGATGGCATACGGAAATTTTTAAAGACGAAGCCTCGAATTTCTGGATGGATAGATCGTAAAGAAAAATTGTAAACTTCTCTCTCTGTCAAGTGAACCTCTGGATACAATAAAAATTGCCCCAATGATGAACTGATCCGTTAAAAAAAACTAAAATAGACCTCGAAGGTGAACTGGTACTTCGCAAGTATTATATCAATACGTTGGTTGCCACGTCGCCCAGAAACATGGCGAAGGGACTTTTCATCGAGGAAACAAGCAAAATTAAGTCCAAAGGTGGGAGAATAACGGAAATAAATCTGGTTAAGTCTGGTTAAAAAAATTAAATACCGCGACGAACGTTAAATTATCTAATCATCGATAGTCGCGTAACGAAATTTTAACTTTATAGAGACTTTCACGGATTTTAGCCCGACAGCAAACGCGTTAATTCGGTCCGCCTGTGATTCAGCGCGCAGGGAAATCTGTAAATTCCAGCGGTCCCCGCTTTTCCGTAGATTAACAATCCATCGAAAAAATTAGACGGAGAAAACGGTCCCGGAATCGAGCAAATATTCCCACGGCATCGGGAACACGCGATGTACATTTCAGCGGGCGTTTGTTCTTCTTGATTGACGCGCGATGATACACTTTCGTCGAGGAAGAGCAAATATTGAATCACGTCAGAGGAATCCGTGAATCAATGTTTGTTTTCTCGGTACCCGGTGGATGACACCTAGGGTAGCGATCTTATATATTTGCACGATCCCTCTACGAATTTATCGCTCATTCACCAGTCGACTTTACCCACCAGCGAATGGCTTGCCGTGAGAACGGATTGTGCAAACAACGCTTCGGAAAATGTTGAAGGAAGAGTTTTACGGAGTGTCGTTTCATTAAAATATATCGGCATGCGGCAATACGCGTACTGTCACGCAGGGAGATCGTAAACGCGTCGTCCGTTCTCTGATTTGGGATTTCTAACTCTCCCAGAATTTGAAAGACCTTTGCAAGAAGAAATGTTTTGGGTACGGAAGCAACTGGAAGACTCGCTCCATAAGATGCGAGTGGTTGCACTTCGATAAATAATATCTTGAATACAAGACACTAATAAGTGTCGCATTAAATTATTCAAACCCACTAACCAGCAAAATAAGTCAAACAAGAAGACAAGTAAAGACTTGCGAACCATTTTTCAATAAATTCCTAAACGTAAGCTTCCTCAAGGAACGCCACTGTTTCACGAGTACCTGCAGCCTCTATAACGAACGTAACTTTCCGCGATATCTTCGCAAAAGTACGCGTGCTTTTTCGCGTAACTAGGGTGCCGTGGATTTACCGCGTGGATTATCGTAAGCGAGATTAGAGAAAATAACGGGGGTGAAGGGGTGGGAAGTGGGCGGGGTTGGAAAACTCGCGATCGA